CAAAAGCTAGGTTAATTCAAAACCTTTAACTCAATTTTGGTCATGAATTATTTTATTAGAATTGATGAGTTTTTATTTATTAACTACCTAACACCATATTATTAGAACTTTATTTTGTAATGTAATGATTTTATCAGCGTTCCAAAATAATTTTCTAAATCAAGAACTTCTATATGAAAAAAAATACTCATTTAACAACTAATCCCCCCTTATAACGACGTTTTTCATAATTTTGCGAAAAATGTGGTTTGCTTTCACAATTCGATTAAGGCTGTTTTAGTTAACCTTAAAATATTAAGTAAGGTTTTTTTGTTTTCATTATTGTGAAACAATAAGTGTATTTGATAATAACTATTAGGAATATATTTTTCTAATTTTTTTTTGATAAAAAGTAACATCAAATTACAAAAATTTAGCTAAATTCAATATATGTCATATTTATTCTAAACTAAAAGAAGTTTTTCTACTAATGCATTAAATGTCATACTGTAAAACATTTTATTGATGTCTTAATTGTTTTTACAAAACAAAACTACCTCTTATATTTCAAAAGTTGTAAAAGTTTTAGTAACACCCCTTTAGTCAATATTTTCAAATATTAACAAAAAGCCGTTAAGCTCGGTTTGAAACAGCCGTGTAACCAAATATTACTTGTTTGTATATCAATGTTGAAATCTTTTTTAGGCTATTTTGATAAGTTTGCAATTATATTTTTATCTTCATCTTTTAATTCTGTTTCTATCATTGGAGATCTTGTTTTACACCGTTTCAATGAAAATATTGTAGGAGCTGAATTTTTTTCAAAATTGAGACAATTTGCATGCTTTGAGCCATTCAAAAAGTTTCTTAAAAGAATTTTTTTGAAGCTTGACTTTAATTGTATTATATTAGGATTATTATTAAATCCATTTTTTCCCCTAATACAAGCAAACAACAGTTCTAAGTGATCTTGAGACACTTTATAGGTCAACACATATTTGAATGAACATTCGGATCTTGATAGTAAATTTATAGACATATTTTGGATACTAGTTGCAGCGACAATGAAACCAAAAGCAAACGTTTTTCTTCTATGTTTAAGAATTTTAGTCCCATCTTTATCAGTTAGGCTGGCCAGATATTTAATTGTTTTTTCAATAACACTAAACCAATGGATTTTGTCATTAAGAAATAAGGGTTTTTTGAAACCTTTGCCGAATGGACTTCTTGAATTTAGTAAATCAAAAAGTTGATTAATTGTTCTTATAAAATCTAATGTTCCTTGAGCGTCATGAAAAGAGGGATGACCAGATAGCATTAAAAATTCAATAGCATCTGCTACAGAATTACTTAGTGTTTGGGCAGCTATTTTTACATTCATTTTATGCCCATGAAAATTAATATGGCTATTTCCTAACTTATTAGCAAACTATAGTCCAATGTCTTCTTGCAAATTTTGCAGAATTGTGATGTGCTCCCACTTTACAAATCTTTTTTGACTATCAATAAATACACCAAGATCACATAGCGCATTTCGTGCAAGTTTTAGCATATGGCAAAGATCAGGAATAAAATAAATATTTTTATTATAAGACTCAATATTCATAGATGAGTTTTTTCCGGGAATTCCCGGAATTCCGGAAATTCACATCAAGTTTCCGGGAAATTCCGGATGCTTTTTGCTATTGATTTGTAAAAAGTTATATAAAATTTTAAATACGACATGGTTTGCATTTAAGCAATTATGTTTTCTATAAATGAAATTTTCACAAGATCAATTTTTTCAAAAAATTTTTTTCTTGTTAATTCATTCAAAATAACTTTTTCGAATATTAGAAATTCTTTTTCTTAAGAAATTAATTGATGTAAATTCCGTTTTAAACGTTTGCAAAAGATCTTGTCGTTAAAAATTACTATCAAGAAGAAAGAAAAGAAAATGCAAGTTAAGAGTTTAATCTGACATTTCTGAGATAGACAAAAATATTAAAAACAAGTTTTGCTGGAATTGGCTTCAAGAGAAAGACTATAATGATGAGCATTATTTAGCCTATATTACAAAGATAAATAAAGCCGGAGCGGTAAGTTTATTCTCTAACTGAACACTGAAATATATTAAATATATGTGTATATTGCCATATGCCACTCCGGATAACGTGCATATTGGCAGTACTTGCACAAAGAGAGTAAAGCCTACCATTAAACCTATTGTAAGTTTTAGAGACAGGACATGAAATGCAAAAGCTATGACACTCGCATTTATTTGTGAACACAATCTTCCAATATCTTTAACATCCCGTATGATTGAATACGCAAAGGAAATGTCTAAAGATCATCGTGTTTTAAAAAATTTGAAAATGTTCAGAACAACTGCTTCGTATAAGCTTCGAGAAGGATTAGGTGAAGCTTTTCATGCTGAGCTTGTTTTTGATATGAAAATAAAAATGTTCTCCCTTAACATAGATGAGTGCTTCTCGGCAAAAAATGAGAAGGTTCTTAGTATACTCGTAGCATATTTTTGCGACAAAACTAATAATGTTGTTTTAAAGCACTACGCGTCATTATCGCTTTTTACGGTAAATGCCGAAAGTCTTTTTAATGCTGTTATTCATTTATTTAACAAAGACGCAATTCCATTAAGTAATCTTGTTTCCAATTTATCAGATTCTACCAATTATATGAGAGGAATAATCAGTGGGTTAGAAACAAGGTTAAGAAAAGCGGTTCCTCACTTACTTGATATTACTTTACTTTATATTAATTTGAACGTTGAAATTCTTCCTATTTTTAAATCATTCATTTTAACTTTTGAACAAAAAGAACCGTTAGTCCATCGAATTTATGATGAGCAAATTGAACTAGTGAAAACAATTTTAACTTGTTTTATTAAGCCAAAGATGATAAAAAATATAACAGGAGAAAAGTTGAAGTTTTTAAACCTGAAAAATAAAAAAATTTATCGCCATTCGAACTACATATACCTTGGAAGTAATGCTGAAAAATATTTGTCAAGAATACTTATTTGAAATCCTGATTTCAAATCATCGTTTTTAAAGACCTTGCTAAAAGCTTACCTTGAATCGTCAGTTTACTTACTTAAATTACCCTTTAACAACCCTTTATTAAAATGCCTCTCTGCGATCGACCCAATGTCTCAAGGTCACGAAATTACAAAGAAAATGCTAAAAAAACTCTCAACTTTCTTTCCCTCTGTAGACATAAATAAAGTAATATTTAATCGAGAAGTTATGCAGCTTCAGATGGATATAGCGCTTCCACTCGTATTTGATGATGGGAAGCCCGTACGTCTTGACTATTGGTGGGCTGAAGTTTTTAAGTGTAAAAAATATTTAGAGCTTAGTAAGATTATCAAGGCATGCTTAAGTATTTTTAGTAGTCCTCATGTTGAGCAGTCATTCAGCATGATGAATACCATAGTTAACAAAAAGACAAACCGTCTTGATACTTTAACGTACTCTGCTATCGTTTCAGTTAAGTATCAATTATGAGCAAACGAGACCACAGCAGTAGGGTACTTTAAAAGGCGAGAACAAAAATATCTGTGGTCATTTGCAAACTGCAAGCAAACGCTATAATAAAAAAATGAAATTCCATCGGAAAAATAAAAAAGTTGAAGAAAGATTTTTAAATATAAATTCAACGTGGAAAAAAAAAATTGCCTTACATGAACAGTGCAAAAAAGTTGAAGAATCTATTATTGATCATGCAAAAAAGTGCAGAAAAAGAAAAGCTGACGAATGCTTCTCAACAGAAAATGATAAGAAAAAAAAGTATTGACTCCTGACATTTATTCCATTGTCTTACATTTTATATTTTAAATATAAAGAAATTATTGCGCTTTGCAGGTTGCTTATTTTAAAACTGAGATATTATATTTCATTTTAGAGAAACATAATTAATGAGTAGTTTTTAGTTTCTTTATTTATCCCTTTACCAACGTTCTAGAATTTACCCACATACCTTCGTCAATTTATTGACCCTAAATTTTTCCGGGATTTTCCGGAGTTTTCATGAAAATGACTTTCCGGAATTTTCCGGGATTTTCAAAGAAAAAAAGTAAGAAGTAAAGAAATTTGCCTTGACACTTCATTTTTATTCATATTTCCGGGATTTTCATAAAGTCAAAAACTCATCTATGAATATTTAAAAAAATTTTCATATTTTCAGCTTTATCAAACGAACAGCCAAGACTTTTCATGGCACTAAAATTAGAAAAAACACCATCACAAGTTACGCTGTGAACATCTTTACCATGTTGAACACATAAATTAACTGCGTTAGTTATAAAACAAACCAAGTTTGTTGTTGAAATCTTTTCACATAAAACATAACCGATAGGACATTTCCAATGCCCTCGAAGTTCAACAAGCATAAAGACAAGAGCCTCAGTAGCTATACTATTTGGATCAAAAGCAGATATATTGTTTCCATAATCTGAAAAACCTTCATAGTTACCATTACTTGGATTATAAACAAGACCTGATTTTATATGCATAGAATCAAAGATCAATGCACAATCTCTATATGTAACATCTTCTAATCCATTTTGTTGTAAGAAAAAACATCTTTAAAAAATCCAGGTGAACAATCAATAGATGAAGGACCAATTCGATAAAGAACTTATACAAGGCAAAGCAAACAATGAGCTGACAAAAGTATAGGCACGAGGTGAATAAAAATGAAGTGTCAAAGCAAATTTCTTTACTTCTTCTGAATGTCGGTGGCCTCTGCGATCTTTGCATTTATTGACTAGTTCAGATTTAAATAAATCACAAACAAGATCAGAAAAGCTATTATCAAGAAATTGAGCTGTATCAGCTGATATAAGCTTGTCATTCTCAAGTTTTTTAATAATTTCTGTCATTGTATTTATTTTCAATTCTTTCCTTCTAAGCTTTTGTTTAAGAGTCTTAATTTTTCTTTTAAACTTGACTTTAGGTGGAGGGTCGACTTTATTATTTGGATTTTCAATAGTAAAATCTACACCAGTTAAAATATGATTTTTAGAGGAACATGGCAACGAAAGAGATCTTTTTTTCATTAATAGTTTTGAATGTCTCAGTTACATTCCTGGAAACATATTTTCTTTTGATGGGCTTTTTAGAATGCATTTTTGCCGGGAAATTAAAGACAGATGGTACAACATTTGCTTTTAAACGAGGTTGATTTGCATTTTCATAATTGTAATCTTCTTTATGAAAGTGAACACTACATATAAAACTATATTTTGTAGGAACAAATAAATCTCGTTTTGTTGCCACAACCCATTTTTGGCATAGCTCGCTATTATTTAAAGGGAATTTATGAAACGATGTCGCAACACCTTTATTAAATCGGTTCACACAACCATAAGCAGAGCACGATATAACCATTTCTTTAGTTATAAAAGTAAATTTTTAAAAGATGTTATAAATTTTTTTTTGCGTGTTTTGCCAGTATTCAAGATGGCTTCCAATAAACAAATTTGCCTCACAACCGCGGCTCGAGTTAGATATCTAGTTAATATATATCATTGAAAATATCTGACTGAAATTAAAGTTATAAAAAAGTTTGATTTGGTGGAGAGTAAACCAATTAATAGTGACCACGAATATGCAGATATTCCAAATTGCAGCATTCAAAAAAACGTTGATCTCATATTGTCAGATACGTAGCTAAAATGACATTAAAATAAAGTTGTCTGTATTAAATATATATATATATATATATATATATATATATATATATATATATATATATATATATATATATATATATATATATGTATTTATATATATGTATATATATATATATATATATATATCTTAAACTTTATGACAACATAAATTAAAAGTAATAAAATATATATATATATAAATCTTAAACTTTATGACAACTTAATTAAAAAGAATAAAAGAATGATTAGCATATTTTTATTTTAATGAAGTATTTTATTTATTTATGTAATACTTTTACAAAAAAATTTTGTCCTCCTTTTCATTGAAAAAAAAAATGGTCACCTTATATATATATATATATATAATATATATATATATATATATATATATATATATATATATATATATATATATATATATATATATATATATATATATATATATATATATATATAACCTCTGCAGCAGATATATTATCGCTTTCAATCTTTTGAATCGTTTTGTGAAATAAAGTTGCCTGATTGTGTACAAAATACATAAATATCTCTGATAATTCATTATTGAAAAATAATTCAAGAATATTTGGACATTTTTCTAAACTTTTTCAAATAATTTTAAAACACGCTCAATAGCAGGTGTTAAAGCAAGCCATCTTACTTTCGAATATCCTAAAAGCTTTTTGTATTCGACATTTGCTTCTTCGCAAAAGTGTTTTAAAATAGCAACACGAACTGTAAAACGAATAAAATACAGATAAACTGTGGTTATTATAACTTCTACATCAATTGGCAGTGCACATGATGCTGTGTTAATTGCATTTGACAAAATATGTGCATTGCAACCAATTCCTAGTATTTTTTTTTGAAGTTAGTCCTGTAATTTGACATGGACATTATTTAGTCCTTTCCGTTTTCGCCCACCAAAATTCGTATTTGTATTATCAGCTGTTAGTGCAACAATTTTAGATTTCAAATCATTTTCATTTATAACCCTGAAAAGGTGTTGTGACAATATATCAGCAGTTTTACCATCAATAGATTCTAAATTTAAATTATTTACTTGAATGCCCTTGGTAATATTAAAATACCTTACTAGTATTAGGTACAATTTGGTTTCATTGTAATTTGAGGCATCAGATAAAATTGTTACAAATCTTGCATTTTTTAAGTCTTCTGCATGTACTTTATCACAGTAATTTTTAAACACTGATTTAACAATAGCCTCACATTTTGTCCTTGCACATGAAAATTTAGCATTATCAAATTTTTTCATTAATTTACTTGTACAATCCATACTTCTAAAACTTTGATTATGAATTATGGTATGATATGCAAATGTTCCCTCCATTACAGCTAACTGTTTCTCACCCTCAGAATAATTAGATGATTTAAAAAAATCTGTTACTTTACTAGTGGAAGCGAAGCATCTAATGACTTCTTATGTTTGTTGGTGTTTAAGTGTTTCGTTATAGCATTCTCCCTCCAACTGCAATACAAAATCCTCTTCTGCAAATATTGCAAAAAAAAATTTACACTTTGTACAAGTTAAATTATTGACGCTTGACATTGGAATGAGATAAAACACCTGGTGAATAAAAAGAAGCAATTACTTTTACTCGGAATAACTGTTCAGCTTAAGTGAATTTAAGAAAACTCAAATGTTATTCACGCGACGCTAAGCAATTTACTCCGATAATTACTCAGCTTTACGCAAGTAAAAAGTTTAAAAATATTTTAAGAGTTTTTGTTTACGTAAAGTTGACCAATTACCAAGTAAATGCATTTATAGAAATCACAATATCCCAACGTGAGCCCAGAATAGAGTTAGAAATGGCTTTAACTAGTCAGAAATCACTCATTAAACAGCTATGTTGCAATTAGTTTCAAAATTATAAAACTAATTTTAAAATATCAAAAAGGAGGACACTGATCAAGGTAGGGCAGGACCAAAAAAGGAGGACTGTCCTTCCTAAAGGAGGACGATTGGTCACCTTAATGTATATATATATATATATATATATATATATATATATATATATACACATATATATATATATATATATATATATATATATATATATATATATATATATACACACGTTTAGTAGAGTACAGCTAAATAAAAAACAAGATACAAATAATTATATATATATATATATATATATATATATATATATATATATATATATTTATGTATATATATATATATATATATATATATATATATATATATATTTATGTATATATATATATATATATATATATATATATATATATATATATATATATATTTATGTATATATATATATATATGTATATATATATATATATATATATATATATATATATATATATATATATATATATATATATATATATATATATATATATATATAAAATTCGAGAAGGAGCCTCTGAGTTGTGTGTACTCACAGAGCTCAGCTAGTAGTTCTATTTGAAAAACTAATTTGTAATAGTTTATTTTAAAAAGATATTTAGCTGCCTACCATGCAGTTGTGTTATTAACCTTCTAGCACACAGCATTGGGTAGGTAAGAACTAAAAGGTACATAAATTGTATAAAAAACAATATTAAACAATTAATTTATGGTAAAACTAAAATTAAAAGAAAGTAAATAAATGAAATATAAATAAAAAATAAAATTATTTCGATTTTTCACATCTAAAGTTGTTTGGAAACTTTTGAATTAGATAACTACTAGGTCTTTATTTGTTTTGTACTTCTACTAATAGGTTATAACTAGTTATATATATATATATATATATATATATATATTAGTGGAACCTAATAGTTAACTATTAGGTTCTAGGTACAATACTAGTTTCTAGTGCATTCTTGCTTATGTTAAATAAACTAATTTTTAATTATTTAACTAAAAATTTTAATCTTTATTTTATTTAATTTTCGTTAATTAATTAAATAATTTTTATATATAAGAAAAGATATTATCCAAACTTAATTATATTTTGTAAAACAAAATATTATATATATTTTAGAAATTTACGTAAATATGAAATATTGCGTTTTTTGTTAAAATATTTGCTATGTAAATTCGAAAAATATATTTTTATTTAAGGCTTATACTATTATATATTTATTTTCATTTAAATAAGATATAAAAGTTCGTAACCAAATTTTTTCTAATCAACTAAATACGCCGCCATCTTGGGGGGCCAAAACTGGCTTTAAAAAATTTGCCGAATACGCTATCCAGTTATATTTTGAGATCAGTGGTTTTATCTTAAGAAATGCCGTGCCACAATAGGGCTGCAAACACAACACTTCTAAATATTGACAGCGTCTGCCTTTGTTTCAACATAACCTTTGTTGCGACCTCTTTAAAGATTTTTTCCTAATGTTTTTACAGTCTCCTCGTCTCTTTCTGTTAACATTAAATCTTGCTTTCAATATTTGAGTCACATCTTGATGATAGATTTGCTTAAAATTTTGCAAATATTCACGTGCCTAATGACATTAGAATATGCAATAAATAATTTTAAAACAAGTCAATTAAATTAGTTAATTTTAAGTAATAGGTGCGTGGACTTGAATTTTTTAATTGAGCATATACTTGAATGTTATATCATCAGCAGTAACGCAGCACTAAATTGTTACATGGGTGCGGCCATTTTCCAACCAAAATCAACCAGTAATTATGGGCACATGACATATTAATGTGTCAGTCGTGAGCCATGATACAGTTTATATATACAGTTTAGTGATACAGTTTAGTGATACAGTTTAGTAGATTTTTAGTGATACAGTTTATTATTGTGTATATTAGTGATTTTGTTTATTATTGTGTATATTAGTGATTAGTATATTGTTGTGTATATTAGTGATACAGATTATTAGTGATACAGTTTAGTAGATTATTATACAGTTTAGTGATACAGAACCATGATACACGTATAAAAATAAGTAAATGTATAAATTTGTATATATATATGTATATATTTGTATATATATATGTATATATTTGTATATATATATATATATATAAATATATATATGTATATATATACATATATATACAATATATATAGATATATTTATATATGTAATTTATATATATATATATATATATATATATATATATATATATATATATATATATATATATATATTCATATATATATATATACATATATATAGATATATATATTCATATATAATCTTACATATATATATATATATATATATATATATATATATATATATATATATTATATATATATATATATATATATTTATATATATATATATATATATGTATAGTTTATATATACACATATAAAGGTACATGGACTGACTTTTTTTGGGCAACCATTCTAATTATTAATTGCAGCTTTAGCTATGTTTGATGCATTAGTTTCTACTTTTAACGGAACATTTTTAATGCTTCAAATACGTTCAATACCCAAAAAACTTAATCAACTTCAAAAAAAAACAATCTTTATGGGGATTTTATTCAAAGACTTTTTTCTTACTTTTAATAATCAACAGGTCAATAACAGTAATCATACTGATATTGACCTGTTGATTATAAAAAGTAAGAAAAAAGTCTTTGAATAAATTTTTTTTAACACTAAATATGAACAAATAGGTAAACTATATTCTTTTTACAAATAAATAATTTTACGAATAATTAAGACAAGTTATATTTAAGTTGCCGATTCCAACCTTTCCACTCTT